TCCCCTCTGTGGGTCTGGGGTACAGAATGTACTGGAATCCAGGCCTCTGAATTGCAGCTGTGGCCCTTTCCAGTAAACCACCCTGAGCATGACTTCGCAGAAACGTTTAGATAAGCTTTACACCTCATTGATGTGAGCGGCATTGCAATGTGGATGTGTCATCTCTTATTCTTAGTAAAGTGATTTTTGTTAGAACACATTTCACAATTTTATATTTCACATACTTGTAACCCTGCTGGCTGTGCCCCAGTGGCCGGCAAACTGCTGCCACAATGGTTGCTCCATCCCTGAGGTTTTGCAATGGACGCAATTAGCCGCTTCTAAATTCTTGACCATTTTTAGTGTATTTCCTCTGTTTCCTGTCCGCCCTTTTCCTTTCTTTTGAGTCTCCTTTATTTTGGCACCCTTGCTCACATGCTCACATTTACCATTTCATCTGAATGAATAAAAATGATTACTGAAATACGTGCCATCTGTGGTGGCTGGATTTGAAAACGTGTTTCAGTTTTTGTAATAGGGTCCTTGCAACATTTATTCTTCTTTGTAGAATCACCCCTCTCTGGTCTTTCCCTGGGTCTCTTGGAAATGCTTTGAAATGTATTCAATCCATCAGCTGCTTCTGTCTGGGGAAATCATGTAGTCAGTGCAGAGATCTAATTTCTTTCTTAGCTTGAGCAAGAGCTGTTTAATAGGAAACATTTTGGCTTCCCCTGCTTTAAAGCCATCACTTCTACACTTCTACAGGGACTCTTATTTGACCCTCTTCTATTACTCAATTCCAACCCACCCACCCCCCCAACACACACACAAAATAGTTTTTGAAGACTAAGGCCAAGCATGCTAATGGAACTATTGCTAGTAGAACCATATGGCAGAAGTCAGGGGGTGAGGAGCAAAGGCTGAAAGAGAGAGTAGAAATTCCTAAAACTCTGGGATAGGTATGGGGCAAGAGAAAGTCGACATTTGGTAGAATTAAGGTATCCAAAGGAGTACTAAGAATTTGAAGGATTGCAGAAAGGCCAGAGTTAAAACTAAGAATGCATAGAGTAAAACAAGAGGGGAAAACACACACACACACACAAAAGAATAAAGGTCACCAGAAATAGACGTATACAAAGAAAAGTCAAAGAGGAAGAGAAAGAGGAGGAGGCAAATGATTAGAAATGGCATGTACTATAGAAATAAAAGAAAGTACATGAGGGAAAGAAAGACCATTCCAGGAAGCTTCTGGCGAAATAGTCAATGATTCATTAGGTCAAAGCCAAAATACCAGCATAAATCACAAAATGATGGGGGGTACCCCTAGCTCATACTGTTGAGCCCCAACTTGAAAACAAAACAAACCAAAATGATAATGTATGGATTCCTAGAAATGGCCTGAACTTCTGTTCATGAAGTTTAACAAAAGGATGTGAGATGTCAGGAAACATCATAGAGCAGAAAGAAGGTAGTCCTGTTAAACAGGACTCATGCTGGCTGGGAGGCAGTAGACCAGAAGCAGTGGCTGAAGGTTTCTGGGCTATGAAAACTTTTCTACAAAGAAATCCAGAAGCCCAATAGACAAAGCAGATAAGGTGAAGCTGCCAGATTTGAGTTGCCTGATAGGGAGTCTGTTTTTCAGCCCTCAGCCCTCCCCTTCCTGGCACCTCTGCAAGATGGCTCCATCTTCCAGACTATTCTGGGTAAGCCCCGTAGACATTATTTTTTTTTAATGAATTTTTTTTCAACATTGAAAATCAGGATATTTTACAAAAATTTTAAATGCCAACTTTCTTCTGAAAAATTGGAGCTGTGAGCCCCTGGAACTATTTTCCAGCATAAGCAATAAAGCCAGTGTCTCCCTAGTGGGGCATAATTTTTTCTGTTTGTGTCTCAATCCACATGCAGCTCACTTCCTGAATTCTCATTAGAAACCCACTTTGCAGCCATCTCTGCCCGCCAAGGTCCTGTGTAAAAGCCTCTGGATGTGAATGGCTTCTTAGGATCTTCGGCTTGAAACGTCCTGCTGGGGTCTTCCCATCTTAGTAAGGAGAAGTGAGTCTGGGTTATTTTGATCTCAAGTTATAGCTTTTAAATTTGCTTAATCAGACAGCATATTGGTAGTGTAAGAAAATGCATTTAAGTGTGATTGTTTTCTGCTAGTAGCTCTCATTGCTGTCCTAGTCACCACCTCCCTAGCACCCACCCCAACTCAGCATTGAGAGGGACAGGCCACCCAAAGTAAAAAAAAAAAAAGTATTGACTTTTGGACAGGGTATAGGTCAGCGGTAGAGCACTTGCCTAACATGCATGAGGACCTGGGTTCAATCCCCAGCACTGGGAAAAAAGAAAGGAGGAAGGAAAGAAGGGAGGAAGGGAAAAAGAAAGAAAGAAACTAAGTAAGTTAGTTTTGACATGATACTTGAACCAGAACTCCTTCCTCTTCTTCCCGACAATGTAGTCACAATACTGCTGCACAATGAGGCAAATATTATGTCCTCCTGAAAGCCTCCCCACCCTGGTTAATTTGTTTCAAACATCTTAGCTCCTATGCTCTATTTACTCTGGTTAAGCAGTGAATACTTGTTTGCTCTAGGACATAACAAGAGACGTACCAACACTTAGGTCCTGGGGACAGCTCCTTCCTCATATGTTTAGCAGTTTCCTAATCACCAGGAGGAGCTAAAGAGTTATTTTCTAAGCTGGTATCATAGACATCTTATGCTTCCTCTGATTTCCAAGTTAGATGGTCGTAAACAGTAAAACACATATATTATGTAGGCACAATCTAAAATACTCCAGGAGATTGGAGCGGCATCAGGTTTCAAAATCCAGAATAAAGAACAAGTATCTAGGGTCAAAGCATTCCTTGGCTCTCACTGCTTGGAGTGAATCCAGGCTCCTTATTTACGGATCTTGAAAATCCACTTATCTTTCTATGTAGACATCTGCCCTTTCTACACCAGCTTTGGAATCCTATGACATTATTCAAAATGTGTATGACATCTGGTAGGAGGAGGGAATGTCATGTAAAGAAACTCTCATTTACTAGGAAGTAGCTGACTTCTGACCTTGAAAAGGTAACTGATTTACCGATAAGGTTTTGATTTCATCTGAGGTTTCTTCAAAGCCATAAACAGGCATTTTGGGGTCTTGGAGAAAAGAAAACTATCAGTAAATGGGAGAAAAGTGGAAATTATAAACCAAAATCAGAATTTGTTTTCAAGATAATCAATTCTTCGGAATACATGTGAACTAGTAGGGATGTGGTCCTTGAATTGTTCTGCTTCCAGGAAGTGGGTAGAGGGCTGGAGCCTTATTGGCAAAACTGTACTTCTTTACCAGATCAATTATGAACAACAGTTCGACAGCATTCTGAACCACAGCATTATCCTGCAAGGCTTTCTAAAAATCTACCTGAGAGGTGACCAATATTTTTAAAACATTACCCTGGGTGCTTATGAGAGTATCTGTGTGAGAATGAGTAAGGTAGAAAAGACTCACTCTAACCGAGTGTATTTTCTTTGATAGTGGACACTCATGATGGTGTACCTGTGTTCACTCCATTCTTTACTTGGGTGTTTGCTTTTTTTAAAAATGGGAGAGGAAAAAAGAAATGGAAATTCAGCCCAACTCCCACGTAGACCAAGCAGAGAGGGAGGAGGTCCTCGCCACCTGCCACATTCCCTATTTGGGCTAGCCTGTGCGTCACTGTCAGGAATATGGCTCCCTTCGCCAAGGCCCGCAAAGCCCCTCCATTTATTTATCTGTAAACGCAGGGTGTGTAGGCCACGTGCTTTTACAACCTCGGCCCGGTGCCCTTTCTCCCATTTCTTTACGTCTCCTGCGTAGCACGGGAATTTGAGGGAAGAAGACGAGCGCATTCTACTGGGGACAGAAATGACACTAAAGAGCTACTAATTCAAGATCCCCAGAAGAGTCCCGGCACGGTTCGGTCCTCTCAAGCCTCAGCACCCAATGCCGGTGGGCGACCCAGCCCGGCCCACCCGGACAGCGGGGCCCCCACAGGCTCCGGGGAAGCGGCGGCGGCCACCGCTCCACGTGGCCCAGGGCCAGATGGACCTTGACGAGCCTGGTTTCCCGGTCGGGTTACGCAACAACTTTGCAGCCGTCATCTTCGCCCTAATTGTGCAGGGGGCGGTGTTGGTGCGTCGAGCTTTCCTCCCCGCTTCAGGCCGTCGCGGCTCTCGGGAGAAGCGCCCCCGGGGCATTTCCATCGTTGGCTCCGCCGCGCGGCCCTGCGCAGCGCCCACCGCCGACCCGGCCGGTCCCCGCCGCAGCACGCCCGAGTGCGGGCAGCTCGCCAGCCGCCACCCTCACTTTCCCTCCCGCCGCCTCCCAAGGCGCTGGGGTCCCCTCGGGAGTGGGTGGAGGACGCGAGGCCGAGGTCCCCGCCACGCCCGGGTCGCCGCAGCCCGCGCCCCGGGCCGGCGTTCTGCCTGCAACAGGTAGCTCGGCTGGCTGCGGCTCTCGGGCAGACAAAAAGCGCCTCGGCTAGGGGTCGAGGGTCGCGGGTCGCACGGAGCCAGGGCGGCGACGGGGAAGGCCAAGAGGCAACGGGCACACGGCGGGCGAGGGTGGGGGTCCCGGCCTCGCCCCAGTCGGTTCCGCGGGGCCGGCCGTGGCGCAGCCCTCCCGCGGGCCCGGGTCCTGGCGGACGCTCGGGCGGCGGCTGTGGCCGCAGCCAGGGAGGGACAGGGACTGGTCGTGGCGCCGCCACCGAGGGGGAGTGGGGCGGGGGGCGGGGCGGGGCGGGGCCGCGGAGAGCCCGCCCCTGCGGGCTGCGGCCATTGGCGGCGGGCGGGGGGCGGGAGCGGGCGCGGCGATTGGGGCCGGGGCCGCCCGTCACGGCGGGGCTGGCGGGCGGCGACGTAGCGCCGCGCTCGGAACTGACCTACTAACACACATCTCTCGGCGCGGCCACGGCGCCCGCGGACCCGGCGCGCCCGCCTGCCGCCTCCCGCGCCGCGCCCTCGCGCTGCCCGCCGCGGCCCCGCAGGCCCGGCCCGGCCCGAGCCTCAGCGCCGCCAGCCCGACTCCGGGCCGCCCCTTTCTTTCTCTCCGCTTCTCCGGCTCCGGGCGCAGAAACCCGGTAAGTGCTCCGCCCACCGCCGGCCGGGGGCCCGCAGCCCGCTCCCCGAGCGCGCGGCCGGCGGGCACTGGGCGAGGGGTGCGGGCCGGGGTGCGCGGGGCTCGCCGAGGGCGGCGAGTGTGCGCGGCGCCTTCATTACATAAACTTTTGCTGCCTTGTCGGGATGGGACTCGCCACCTTAAGGTGGCTGCTTTGATTGCAGCGCCCTGGCGCCGGCACGTAGTCCGGGCTGGTTTGCGCTCTCCCCCCGCTGCTATTGCATAATGTCTCCTGATTTCAGGAAAATTGATGTTTTGGTAGAGAAGAGCGCCAGAGAGGCTGGGCAGAGGCTGGGCTCTCTCGGAGCGGGAAGATGCTCTTTCCTCTCACTTGTCTTTCCTTTCTCGTCCCTTCTCCGGGGCTGGCGGCACGGGGAGTGGGGGGTGGTAGGAGAGGTTTGAGTAATGGGGGTATAATCTTGATTTGCTTGTTGAGAAAGAGGGTTGCTAGCGCGAAAGGTGACGGCATCCAGAGAATGCCTGCGCGGCGTCTGTTTGTGTCAGGCGCTGTATAGGCACAGACGTTTTCCACCCTGTTTGTCGTCAGCGTGTTTTACAAGCCCTCGGGAAGGTTGTGGGGTTTGTCCTTTCTTACATTGCATAATCTGCCCACGGTGAAACGTTGGCACAGATTACGGGCTGATGTGGGAATATGCGCGTATGTGTGCAATGATCTGGTAATTTTAGCGCAGCTTCGGGTATTAGATCGTTATTTACATCTCTATTATATCCCAAATAAACATGTTTTAAAACGACCCTACAAAACATAAAAAGAAAAATTCCTGGGGAGGAATGCTGATCTTGGGTACTACGGGAGGGGGAGGGGTTTGCTCCTTAAATGTTCAGAGCTGTTATTTTTAAATCTGGGACGAACCATTGTGACGTTTACCTCCCCACCTTCCTAATTGTAATGCATTCCATTCGATCAGCCCCCTTTTTTTCACCTTATTGTCATTGCTTTTTCAGACACTACAAGACAGATCACATAATAGTTTCCTGGAAATGTTGCATTATGTAACTGCCGAATTTGCTGGCAGTGAGCATAGAAAGAGGGAGCTAATTACGTGATTTTATAATCTTGCTACAAAGAAAGTAGGGCAATCTCAGCCTTTAAGAATGTCACCATAACAGGTTTTATTAAAGGATATTTTAAACAGGAAAGTAGACAACCGGCAAAGCGTTGGGCTAGCTCATGCTGCCAAATGTGTCTCTTTCGCCCTAAATGAAATGCTCGTTCTTCTAAATTTAGCCCTATCACATTTTAACAATTGTGGCCTCAGTGCTATTTCTGGTGTTTTCTCCAGGGCTGTGTGCAAATACAAGTTCAAGGCCATTTGCTGTAGTTTTAACTCCACGCCTTCGGAGACCTTTGATAAGATTGTATTTTTAGGAAGGCATTTCGCAGCGCCCAGTGATTTGCTGTACGCTGACTCTCATTTATCTTTTTAAAGGACACTTTAGGAAACTGCTGTTCTGAGAACAGCAGGGAATGGCCAAGTGTCGTCTTCTGTTCTTGGCTTTTGTAAATAACAACAGCTAATGAGGTCAGAAGTATGTATTTCACATCATATTCCTCCCGCACACCCCAGATGAGATTTATGGAAAACATATAGGTTAGTAGATTGTATTTTTGTCTCAATAACCTAGTTTTATTCACGCGAAGATAAATGAATATGTAAAGTACCCAGATATAGAATTTCTTTCTAGATTCTTACCTAGTGTCATTACTTGTGAATATATGTACAAGTGTGTATACGAACAGGTCCCCCCCCCCCCCGTAACGTTCAAATAATTAAAGTGCAGTAATTACAGTCGTTTTCCAAGAAGCGAGTGTAGCTGGAGCCCCCCACCACCCCGCAACCTCCCACCCCCCGGCGTCAGACCCCGACCTAGTTTGCAGGCTCGGGTGGGAGCCTCAGGGATGTAGGGGCAGCCTGGCGCCACCTTCCGATCGCGACCTCCGGGGGCGCCCCTCCCTCCTGCGGCCCGCGGGGTCTGCGGGTAGCCATAGCTGTGAACCGAGGGGCTGCGGGCGCATCTGGTGATGGCGAGCAGAGACTTGGACTCGGACGCTCCTCCGGACGGCTGCTGTTGGACAGGGGCTGCTCGGTGGCCTGCGCTGCGCTCAGCCTTATCCCCCCCACCCCCAGCACACACCAACATTCCTTTGTTCTGGCGCTGGGGGTCCTCACGGCGCCGAGGCCCCGCTGCGCCGCCCACCCAGTGGGAGGCGGGTCTCGGGGAGAGGCGCAGCGTGGGGGCGCGGCCGAGCCTGGGCGGGAGGGACCCTCGGCTGCCGGGGCGTGCCGGTGCGCTCTGGGTTCACCCCGCCGCTGCCGCCGCCGCCGGAGAGCGGAGCTGGAGGGACTCCGGGCTCGGGCTCTGGAGGAGAGGGCAGCCGGCGACCCGGAGCGCTCTCGTGTGGGTGCCCCGGGCTTCCCATGGGACAAATTCAGGGGCCAACTAACTCCCTGCCTTTGCACCGCGAGGTTCTAAAACCCGCGGACACCTTTGTTCCAGGAATCTTCATTGTATTTCAGAGCCAAGCGCTTCTCCTTTTATGAGGTGAAAAAGAAAATCTCCAAATATCAATAAATCACAGAACTTGGGGGTGGGGGACACTCCGGTATTGACAGGAATGGAAGGGAAGGCCCCCAGCTTGAGTTTGGCCATTTAAACTCATGCTTTATTATTTTATTTAAAATAATGCTCATTTTTTTTAAAGTCTTTAGTTTATGTGATCAAAGCCCAAAGGGAACTCGGTTGCCCCAAGTTCAAAATAAAACAAAATCAAAATGCCGTCCGCTGCCGTAAGAGAACTGCACAGTACCCCACTCGGACTTGAAGACTTCCAAAATCGGGCTCAAGCAGTAATTTAGTGCACTCATGGAGACTTAGCAGATGTTCTTTGAGAACTTATCAACTCAATCTGCTCTTTGTTGAAAACAGACCGAAAGCTTGGCTTCTATGGGTCCAGACCTGACACCTCTGTCCCTAGCCAGTTTCCCTCTTACTACAGGCTACCTGCAGTTAGTATGCACCTTGGTGAGGCGCAAAAGGCGCATGCGCTCCCCGGTTCCCGGGCCTAGCCAGTGATATTCTGACTCCACTATGATTCTGCCAGCTTTCAGGATAAATTGAGGGAATCACATCCGTGGAGCAAGCAAGTGAATGACCAGTAATCAGGATTCATATATGTAAGGTCACCATTTTTCTCTGCCTAGATTTCTGTGCAGTAAAAATTGATATTATCATTAAATCTGTAAAGATATTTCTTGAGAAACATTTTTTTTTTGTTCCAGTAATGATTTATTTTGAACACTGCCCATTATGTTTGTGTTAATTTCAGTTTGAAGGGAATTCTTGACAGGATGGAAGAACTGAAGACATCCCAAATCATTAGGTTAATGTCTGCGTGAAGGAGCAGAGAGATGAGTTGATTTCTGCAGAAACAATTTGTCTTTTTCCAGTTTCCTGGAACTTTCTGTGACTTGTGGTCTTGGTACTGCATGATCTCTGCTTCTAATACTCTGGTCTGAGATAGCCAGTGGCTGCTTTGACCCTCCTTGGAGAATCTCCCCTATAAGGGAATGCATGTAGCGAGCTACATGGTTGAAAACTAAAATTAAGCCCTGTGAGACTATTCATATTTGGCCCTTTCCACTAACCTGAGAAAATTGCATATTTGTGACACAGGACAGTGCCTCGCTAAGACTGGTGAAGGGCAGAAAGGACTGGACCTAGTAGTCAGCATTGCCTTCATGCTGGTCATTCTTCAGAAATGAGATTAAGAAGTAATATTTCATAAACACTCTACAGGTGTCAGGCAGAGTGTGGAGGGCCCTGTCATCATCCCCACTTTATAGATGAGGAAATGGAAGCTCAAAGACTTGGATCAGCATCCCAGAGCTCAAAAAGATGGGAAGCTGTGGTTGTCACAACCCCCTTTCTGTTCTGTTCCTTCAATGAGAGTGAGTGCAAGATCACTGTAATTTTTGTAACAATTTCCTTTTCTGTGCTAAGGGCTTATCTTGCTGAAGTGCAATTATAACATCACTATGATGCAACAATCTGAAAATTAAAACCCTTTGTGAGAGCCCTTTCACACACAGGTTGAGCAATGTGCCTGACTCACTCCTGAGTGGATTTTTCTAGTTGACCTTGCTGTGGTCATTAGAGTCAGTTCCGAGATGTAGATGTGATTGCAGCATGGGGTGGAAAAGGTGCAGTCATCATGCCTGGACTTTATTTTTAACCAAGTTGAAAATCACACGTACTTCATTATTTCCATTGTAATCCAGATGGCATCGATGCTGTTAAAAGTTGTTTATTTTTAATTTGTATTGGGGAGTGAGAGCACACTTGGGATTCAATTCAAATATAACAGAAACAATGTAATAGAAATTTCCTATAATATTCATTTCTTGTTTTTGTAAGGTATGCCTGTATTTCACAGGATTAGCCCATTGTTTGGTATCCTGTTATTTTTCTAAATTATATTTAAGTTGATTTTTATCCAGATCGCACTCCTAGAGAATGTCGAAAGACATTGACCTTTGATCACAGACATTACATAAGAGTTTTTCAGTTTCAAAATGAATTTTTATTACCATCGCCCCCAATTATCTCTCACATTTCATTGCAAACAACTTTCCTGTAGTTTAAAAGAAAAAAAAATTTGTTCAAATAGTTTTAATTCAAGAGCAGAATCTCGTTGTTAAAGTTTAATAGGAACTTACTAGATGCCATTCCTTAATAATCTGTTTTTTGAAGACTCAGTTTCATTGAATGATACCTGTAAGTCTTATAGTTTTCAGGATATGGTGTCTTTTATTCCCTTTCTAGTGATCTTAAACTGTATTTAAGTGGCTTTCAAATACACTCTAAAAATAAACATTAAAAAAAAACTATTCATAAGGCATAGAGTAAAGTAAGTGACATTTGCAATCATCTGCTGATTAG